TTTCCTGTGCCTCGACGTCCGTAACACTACTCTATAATAAATGCTTTTAAACTGCGGCAGAACAAGACGGACGTATTACAAATTTTCACCTTGTTATTGAGTGCTGTTGCTATCCCAACAGGGGCCTGCTGCTCACTATTAGCAGCATAGGCGTCCGCGCTAGAAGCTGTTGTCACCTCTAAAACATATACAAATCCGAATTTCTTTTATCGCAAGTGCAAACAACTAAAACTAACTCATTCCAGCAAGTTGCTCCTCAAGCGACTTCCCCGACTGTCCAACATCAATCAGATCGGCAGTAGCCGGCTCACCGGAGGCAGCCGACGCTTCCTTATTAGCATCCCCACTTCGATTCGTCACGAATCGGTCATATTTTTCAAAAATGCTATTGAATTCGTCATTCAAAACGAGCAGTTCATCTAAAATTGTGAAAAATCACACATATCAACAACCAGACGTATTCGCACTTACAAGTTACTTCTTCGTTTCCCACAGTTCGAATTAAGTCTAGTATTCGTAGTTGCATTTGTTTGCAAGTTGCGTGCAATTCACTGAGCAATTGAAGTTCGTCCGCTGTTTCACGTCCAGGGGTTATCTCAGTGAGCATCTCACGGAATACCTGCAAATCGTGAAAAAGATTAGAGAGAAAGATGATATGAGTGCTGTACGTTGGTTACACCTTTAAATTCGAGTTCACCACATCAAGGTCTGATCGAAGTTTTGCTAGCTGTTCAGCAGATGCAGTGATGGGGCCCTCAGGTTGACTTACCACCTCGTAACTCTAAACACATGTAGTATCTATCTTGATAGGAATCTCATGGAGTAGGCAAATTAGGTAACCTACAGGTGACCCAGTTGACTGCGATGTACGAGCCGTCGATGCTTTCGGCTCAGTGAAGACCGTCTACAACACATCACAATCAACACAACACACAGAACCATGCTACCTTTTCTGAAGGACTGAGACTGTTTGTCCATAACTCTGACTGCATCTGACTTCTGTGGTTCCGTAAACATCAAAACGAGATGTCCAGATCGCACTCTCTTTCGAGCTTCAAGACTGGCAAGAAAAAAACATGCTAGACAAAAGCAAACAAAAAAGTCAGAAAACCTCTAGTGAGAGCAGATCTCTAAAATTATTAGCCACAGATCAATCACAACTACGAACGAAAACCACTCAAGAGCCAAGCCTTGCTCCAAAATGTTTTTACAATAAAGATACAAATGTCGTAGAACACACCTGCTTTGGAGTTAAAATCGGTGCCATAGCGTCTAGATCAGTAGGAGGAAATGTAACTCCTTTACTGACGAGCTCTTCGTAAACTTGAACAACCCCTTGGAGGTCAGGCTGACCACGAAAGGCATCTGCCCACGCCTATAAAAAGCATATCAGACTTTTACGCCAATCTTTTCAAATTGTGGACAAGTGTGAAACTGCGGAAGGATTTCATTTAATGAGAAAAACAAAATTAGACAGTTTACAGTGCATTTTCAGCTAA